ACCTGCACATCCCTGGGCACTATGGGTAATTTAGCACGGTCAATCCACCCTAACATGCACATCCCTGGGTACTATAGCATAGCCAATCCAACTAACCTGCACATCCCTGGGGCACTATGGGTAATTTAGCATGGCCAATCCATCCTGACCTGCACATCCCTGGGGCACTATGGGTAATTTAGCACGGCCAATCCACCCTAACCTGCACATCCCTGGACACTATGGGTAATTTAGTGCGGCCAATCCACCCTAACCTGCGCACATCCCTGTGCACTATGGGTAATTTAGCACGGCCAATACATCCCAACCTGCACATCCCTGGGCACTATGGGTAATTTAGCATGGCCAATACATCCTAACTTGCACATCACTAGGCACTGTGGGTAATTTAGCATAGCCAATCCACCCTAACCTACACACCTTTGGACTGCGGGAGGAAACCGGAGCACCCAGAGGAAACCCACGCGGACACGGGGAGAAAGTGCGAACTCCACACGGATGGTCGCCCAAGGGTGGGATCGAACCCCAGTCCCTGGCACCGTGAGGCAGCGGTGCTAACCACTGAGCCACCGTGCGGCCCGTCAAGGGGAGGGGGGAGCGATGGTTACATTCTCTCTCCATGGTAACCCCCAGGATGTCAATAGTTGGGGGGCGGGGGGTGGATTCAGCGAAGGTAACATCATTGAATGTCAAGGACGGGAGAGGGGGGTGCGGTGAGATTGTCTCTTATTGGTGATGGTTATAGCCTGGCATTTGTGTGGCGCGAATGTCACTTGCCACTTGTCAGCCCCAAGCCTGGATATTGCCCAGATCTTGTTGCATTTGGACACAGACTGCTTCAGTACCTGAGGGGGGGGGCGCGAATGGTGCTGAACCTTGTCAAACCATCAGTGAACGTCCCCACGCCGGACCTTACGACGGAGGGAGGGTCATCGACGGAGCAGCTGGAGATGGTTTGGGGGCCGGGGACACTACCCTGAGGAACTCCTGCAGGAGATGTCCCTGGAGATGAGATGACTGAACCCCGCCCCCCGCCTCCCCCAAACACCCCACGACCACCTTCCCCTGTCCACGTCCCCCTTACCGATCTTCAGCCCCCCCCACCGCAGCGTTTTATGTACCACAATCAGAATCCACCCCCCATTCCGCTGAACTCCCGCAAGAACAAGTCTATAGCTATTCGACCTACTCCTCGTACAACAGTCCTTTCAATCCCTCGGAGTCAACCTGGTGAACCTCCTCACGGATTGCCTCCACTACAAGTAAGGAGACCAGAACAGGCCACAATATTCCAGGTGTGGCCTCACTAACGCCTTATATAATTGTAACAACGCTACTTTTACAATCTGGTCCTTTTGCAATAAACCCCTTACGCAGCTGCACACCCGCTTCCTCCAGTTCATGCACAAAGATGCCCAGATCCCTCTGCATTGGTGCACTTTTACCCTGCTTCCCATATTTTTAAAATAACAATTTGTCCTTTTTTATATTTCTCGACAAAAGTGGACAACCTGAGTCTTACCTGCATTAAACTCCATCGGCCAGATTCTGTCCCGTTCTCCTCATCTATCAGCGTACGTCTGTAAACTCTGTATCTCCTCATCGCTGTCAGTGTTCCCATCTGTTTTAGTATCATACAGCACAGAGACTCTTCGGTCCAACCAGTCCATGCCGAACATAATCCCAAACTAAACTAGCCCCACACCTGCCTGCTCCTGGCCCATATCCCTCCTCAACCTTTCCTATGCATGTACTTACCTAAACATCCCTTTAAACCTTGTAACTGTACCCACATCCACCACTTCCTCAGGAAGTTCACTCCACACACGCACCACCCTCTGTGTGAAAAAATTTACCTCGCGTCTTTTTTAAAATCTCTCTCACCTTAAAAATGTGCCCCTGCCCCGTCTTGAAACCCCACACGCTAGGGAAAAGGCACCTGCTAATAACTATACCCCTCGTTATTTTGTAAACCTCTATAAGGTCACCCCTCCAGTGGGAAAAAAGTCCCAGCCTCTCGTTATAACTCAAACCGCTCCGTTACCCGGCAACATCCTGGTAAATCTCTCCCCGAATCCTCTCCAGCTTTAATAACGTCCTCCCTGTAATGGGGAGGGGTGGGGGCGATCAGGATTGGGCACACAGTTGCTCCAGAAGAGGCCTCACCAACATCCCTGTACAACCTCAACGTGATGTTCCCCGACTCCTGCACCGTCTGCAAACAAAGGAACTACGGTTCTGATATCGTCATCCAAACTGTTTATATAAATGGCACACAAAAGTGGACCCTGCACTGATTGCTGTGCAACACTGTTGGGAACAAGTTAACCATGAGCAATACACACAAAAAGGACAAAACTGGCCCACAATGCAGCATTAACAACTGATAGAAAGTGAACACAGGCCGACAGGAATAATATTTATTAATAGTTGTTTTTGAAGGCATGAGAACTCTCTGTGTTGAGGATGACATTCAAACTCCTCTTTGTCTTCCTCAAAGCTTCTTCATCCATTCCAAGTTTCGCCCGACCAGATCACGGGGATGAGCTGGAACGTCTGGCATATTCCCGTCGTCTCGGACAGGAACTGGTGAAGGCAGGGGAGGAAGTGAGAACGGGGGAAGAGAGAGAGAGAGATAAAAGGTGTGAGAACAGTTCTATCAGTCACAGAGATCATCATGAGAGCCTGTGGGGGGTGTATCAGTGTGTTACAGTGAGGGGTGCAGGGTATATCGGTGTGTTACAGTGAGGGGTGTGGGGTGTGTCGGTGTGTTACAGTGAGGGGTGTGTCGGTGCGTTACAGTGAGGGGTGCGGAGTGCGTCGGTGTGTTACAGTGAGCGGTGGGGGGTATATGGGTGTGTTACAGTGGGGGGTGTGGATACAGTACAGGTCTGTATTAAGTGGTACCACCTCGTACCTGGGTAATTAAATGGAACAGCTTGATTGAGCTTGGCCTGTGTGCCAGCCATCGGACTCAGGGCTGCAGTTAGCAAAGCTGGAAAACAATCGCAAACTCATTAAACTTCAAACACTCTCTGTCTGTCTCACACACACTTATTCACTCACACTGTCTCACTCTCCCACACACTCTCACTCTCACTCTCCCTCTCCCCCACA